AACTCAGTGAGTACTGAATCTGCCCACATTTATTTTCCATGCACTTATATACCCCAATCCAAAAAGGGGGGAAGAAGGCAAAAGACTGCTTTAACACGACACAAAGGACAACCAGGACAGTTACAGTTTCAGTGCCTGAGACAGCAAGGCACTATTTCCTGAGTTAAGCATTCTGATGTTTGGGGCAGGATGTGCAGCAAATACACCTTAGACCAAATATCCCTTAGGAGGTCACTCCCTGGGTCAAACCTCCTGTTTTAAAATGAAGAGGCAGGAATAGGCTTGAATTCTCTGACCTTTGGTCAGGGTGGACCTCTATGGGTCATCTTAATGTTCAAAACACCCAGTAACCACACCCTAGGTCAGCATACCTTGTTTGTAGCCACACCTCTTGTCAACAACTTTGAAAGAGTAAAAAAAGCTACGACTCTTTGACCTTTAGTCAAAGTGGAACAGACTCACATCTGTGGGCCCCCACATCACTTGAATGTAAAATTACCTACAAATTAATATATGCCAACATGAAATTATCCTCTCCCTCCTATTTGTTCAGTATTTCTTAATTTCCCAAGTTATTTCCTGTGGTAGAAACCCTACTGAAGTTAGAATCACAGACACCATCTTTTGCTTTCTTTTGTTTTTGTTGTTTTGTTTTGTATTCTCAGCACACAAACCACCAAGCATTTTTGGAATAAATACTTGATCTCTATCACATTGTTACCGCAGACTCCCGGACCAGTCCCTCCCAGCTGTACGCTCCTCTGCATCTCCAAACTCTTCCTTCTCATTCTTGTCAAAGCATTTATTCCACTGCTCTAAAATCCTTCAGCGACTCCGAGGCTTTCAGGAGGAAGTCAAAGCTGTTGTAAACGAGACATTAAAGCCTCGGGTGTTAGGAAGCAATTCTCACATAAGAGATGCTGATCTGCTCCTGTTCTGCAAAACTCCCAGGGCTCAACCCAGACCTCTTCTTTAGCTGTCCATTTGCTGGACATGACGTTGATCACTAAGTTCTTTCATTGAACGGGTTTTGCTCTACAGCCCCGAGGAAAGTGCAGAGATCAACGATGCCACTATGTGTCCAAGGAAGTAACATTTCTCCCCTTGTATTCTTAAGTCACTTCATGCCAGTTCACATTCTTTTGGGGGACCTGAGCACTAACGGCCCCAAATGCTAATTATTTTCTTAAATAACAGAAGACCAACTCACCAAAGTTGGGCTCTCAACTCTGCATTAATATTTTCAGAGACTAAAGAAATAGCATTTGCAAAAAACAAACAAACAAAAAAGAAAACGGTACTTGGACATCCATCCACACGTCCCTCTGTCCCTCTTCTGCGAGACGTGCAGGACTAACAATCTATGTTGGGACACTGCTGCTGCCTACTTCACATGGACTACATGCATGCAGACGTCATGGCTTCCACACTCTGAAGTCAAGAGTAATTGTCTGAGCAATATCTGGGTTAGGGTTCATTCTTTCCTGCTTTGTTCCTAAGCAGGGACAGATTTTGTTTTCTGGCTGTTGTGAGCACACCTTATTTTGTTACACCTGAACTGGGTATCAGTACACACCCTGTTGTGAAATAGCCCTTGTTTCCTAAGTGGAAACATGATCGCCTCACAGAACTGGATATATGGGCTAATAAGGAAAATAATTAGTTCTATTCATATTTACTGTTAAACTTGGCCTACTTTCTATGGGACCTTTAAAATAACAAAAGAGCACACTTTTCTGACGCGCATGTCTCCGGGAAAGAATGGTTAAGTTCTTCCTGCCTCCCTTGAGAAACGCAGACCACCGAGAGTTGTGTGTGGTGCTTCTGGATCAACGCCACATTCTTCCGTCCAGTGACTTCCTCCCCAGGCCTTCAGATGGACTCACTAGACCAGTGATGTTCACTTCAACGTACTGAGGGAAAAAGAGGCTTTTCTATACCCCCCCCAAATCTTCTTCATTCTATTAAAATAATTCCATAATGGAAACAACATACGGTTTAACATTCAAAATGATATAAACCCTTCATATAATTATCTATATCTGTTTGTATTTTATCACTATGGCTTAAACATATTTCAAAATAATAATACAATGCTTGGGCTTGTTAAATAAAATCAGTTTATTCTGAGTCATAGTATTATCACTTGAATCCACACTTTGGTTTTCCTGTGATCATACCCTTTGTTGAGCTATTTCAAAGTTTAAATTATCTATTATCTTCTCACTGTGGTAGATAACTAAGCATTATGCCATTTATCAAATATTTGGTTCTTGATGCCTAAATTAGTTACACTGTGCCTTCTTCCCCACCAACCCTTTTTGCTAAATTTGTGACCCTATTCTGCATTTCTCTAAATTGATCACGAATCAGAAAATACACATATTTTCAAATTAAATTCATTTTCCATGAGTTCAACTAGAGCTGCGGCAGTTTGGGGCTCACACTGTCTCTTGCCCCAGCCCCGCTCATGGACACTGTTTCCAGAAAACACGTGGCACTCAGAACACTGGGTAGCAGGCAAAAGGTCTGTGGTAAGGCAAAAAAAAAAAAAATAGCCTCTTCCTTTAGCCTTCTCCATGGTGAGTTAGCATGAAAACACACTCATACTTTTTGTTGAGAGCCAGGGAAGTCCTCCATAAATGGGCTCATGACCTCACGGTCCACATGTAATGAACCCATTCAGTAAAAATGTAAATTGATCTGGAAGGACAGCATCAGAGCCTGTATTCCAGCCTTCATCAATCCCTATGCAGAGGTGGAAACCTTCACAGTAACTGGAGCTGGAGACAGGTCTTTCAAAGGCAACTAATCAGATGGGTAAAAAAATAAATAAAAGACTGATGCCCAAATCTAGTAACAGCCGTGTTCTTAAACAGAAAAGAAGAGATGCTGACCTGCCTCTCTCTCCATGAGAGGGCCCAGAGAAATGGCCAGGTGAGGATATAGCAAAAAAGAGGCAACTTGCAAGCCAGGGAGCGAAGCCTCACCATGACCCATGTCAGCGAGGATCCATGCAAGCCCAGGAGTGAGGCCTCACCACAGCCCATGCCTGCCAGCACCCTCTTAAGAGTTGATGAGAGTTAATGGCTGGCAGAGCAGGGAGAAGTCCAGCTCTTACTGCATTGGTTCTAACAGCCCCAAACACTGCTACAGTTGCTACGCCATTGCTCTGGAGAAGTGAGCTGCTGCACTGTTAGACCCACTGCAAAAATACCAGAGCAAAGTTCTCAAGCTTGAACACATACCCTACAGAAACTTCACAAACTGTATAAAGACACAACATCTCTCCCCACATTACAACACAGTGGCATCGAGACCTTCTGTCTGCAATCACAGTAGTATTAGTGTATATCTGTATTTAATTTACTGCATATAATGTGTCACGTAGTAACGCTTTCCTAACTGCCAAAGTTCAAGCTTTAAGAGAAGACGGTGTGTTCATGTACACACGCATGCCAATATTTCAATGCACTTGAAAGTAAGTTAGGTGAATACCTGAGCTGCTTGCTTTATTACTGTTATCTAAAATGTTTCCTTGTTACAACTTCTTTTTATCCCTGAGAATTTCAAGACTCAGAAAAGAATATAGAAAGTTAGAATAGACACCTCCCTTCCCCTCATTCCCCATTCCACATACCCCAAGCCCACAGCTTAGATCCTTTCTGGTCCAACTGAAAAGAGGACTTTGGCCCAGTTTAGCATATGGTGCATTCTGTCTTGCTGATTTTCTCATAATAAAAAGATTCTTGGCATATGGTGTAACTGAGACACAGACGGGCACACCTAGACTAAATACACAAAATCCCAACCAGGTGATGTGCTGCCTATGGGATGTTACCCATGGGATGCAGTGCTAGGTAAGTAACACTCTTGCTTGCTACCATGAACATGCAAGGTATTGATAAAATCTGCCTGCCTTGACATGTTTCTAAAGAAGTAAGACAGAATTTGTAAAGAGAAATCAAATTCACTATTTCTTATTTTATTCCCTTTCTTTTGGATGGACATTTAAAGAAGGCATGTGCTCTTAACAACCAAAGATGTAACACTGGTGCATCCTGGCCTGTGAACAGCAGATAATGAATTAGATGGACAGGCTAACTGGAGGAAGGCATCTGAGGGACACGGGTACAGACTGGAGGGACCTGTGACTCCCTAAACAATTAGCAAAGCTGGCAAGTCCCACCAGAAAAATATACAATAGTCATAAACAAACAAACAAACAAACAAATCCACAACTCAGTCACCCTCCAACAACCAATGGTACCTCTGGAGATAGAAATACAATCAAAACTGAATATCCAAGGAATCAATATTAATGCTTACATTTTAAAATTCCAAAACCGTCATGCACCAAAATTCTAAAGATCATTATTATATGTTTTGTTATATAAAATATGTAACATTCTGAATCCTTGCAAGTTCTGACATGAAGAGACACAGTGCACATAGCTTTCCAAAATATATGTGTATGTCCAAATGTGAACATATAGATAGAAGAAAAAAGAAAACAATTGGCAAAGGTAAAATAAATCCACTATTAAAGAAACCATTCATTATTCATTCTGTGGTACACTGATAGATTTCCCCATTGCTATGAACTGGTCGCAGGGTTTCACAATCCTATGCAAGTCCTCTACCATGGAGGTATATTCTGACCCCAAGTGTGCTCTTTTCTTTTTATGGACCAGACTTCACTTTGTGCCATTGCACAAAAGAAAGAAAGAACACAAAAGAAAAACATATAACTAACAAAATTTTTTAAATTGTATCTTTTCTCATTACAAACAAATAAATCAGAATTCCTACATAGTCACTGACCCAATAATAAATATTCAACAAACACTGAAAATGACTAAACTATAACACCTATATTTTTATTACTTCATGCAGTAAATTTTATGCTAATATTAAGAGTTTAAACTTCTAAATAATTTTTAAGAGAACATAAAACCAACCCTTTACTGGCTGCTGACTCCGTGCACCCTCAGCCTCACCTCTTCCTTCGTCTTCTTTGATATCACCCGCAGCCAGTCTCCAATCATGCTCAGGACGGCGGCAAAGTAAGCAAGCCCAACGAGGATCCAGAACCACACCACAGGCTTGTAGAAGTCCAGATACTCAATGTCCGAGCCACCTGCCAGAGAAAGGCAAAGTCAGACACACAATCGCAATCCCAAGAGCCAACCACTAAGATCTCCGATGCATTCCTTGGCTGAACTGTGGTCCAAGGGCAGACCCATTGCCTTCTCCACTGACCCAGCCTCTTCCTTCACACAGAGATTCTCATGCTTACTTATACCGCTCTCAGGCTTTCACGGACAAGTTCAAAAAGTGCTTCTGGCGGATGTTTCCTTCCCTTTCTGGGTCATGGTAACTGTCCCTGTTGTCCCCTGTCTCTCAGAGCTCAACCGTTCCCTGTGTACTAAGCCTCTCTCCATTCCCACTGAAACAGTGCGAATTGGAGTCTGTTCCCACACCATGTGGAGGATCGTTTACATCTTCCCACTGCCTATCAACCTGTGCCTGCCATCAGATTGGCCAACTGAACCGGAAGGGGTTGACATCTTAAGTAGGAATGGTCTGGTAACAAGCTCGAGGCAGAGCAACCAGGGGTTTGGGAAGACCTGATGTCTTTACAAGCAAAGCACCATGATTGTCTCTGAGGAAGTCCCATGACATCATCAATATATATCTCCAGAAAGAATAAGAGGAAGAAGAGAAGTGTACTTCTTAAAGTGTTCAAGGAAATCTGTGTGCTGCGGGATTCTGCTATGCACATTCCCAAATACCCTTCTGTTCAGCACAACAGAGGTGGTTATGAAGTGCCCCTTACTTATTTACCAGAACAAGAAGTCAAGGGCATGTCTTAAGAAACCCAAGTTTAACCTGAGAAATCCTCATGTTGAGAATGGAGAGCCGCCTTGGTGTATAAAGTGCTCATCTAAACAGTGAGTTTAGATGCTCAGAATCAACGTAAAAGCTAGATGTGAGAGCTCACCTCTGTAACCAGGACTCCTACCCAGAAACAGGTCATAGAGACAAGAAAGTTCTTAGAAGTTCCTGGGCCAGCTAGCATGAATATGTAGTAGTGAACTAGAGACACGTTTCAGGAAAAGGTGGAAGCGTGCATGCGCGTGCGCGCACACACACACACACACACACACACCTGAACAGGAAAGAAAGCCTCACATAGGCAGTCGCTCACAATAGAGCATATGGCATTGTAGGACAAAGGTTACATAGTTCTGTGGAAGAACACAGAGGGAGGAAGAGAGAAGGCAGAGGGGACTTTCAAGGGGTGAGTAGCAAGACCTTGTGAGAAGGCACACTCTCTCCAAAGGATTCAGGGGACCAGACAGCATATGGGCGGGTAAAGGCCAAATGAGGAGTCTGTTTCTCTATAGGAATAGGGCGTATCAGATGATACAGGCTGGACCCTAACTCAGTGGGGACTGGGTTATGTTTATAGGCGAGATGGCCTGTGTTCACGGCTGACTGCATTATCCAAAGGACCTTAGCGGCTGAAGTGGAACGGCTGGTGGGAAGCCCCAAGAGATACTCTGATTGGGGAGTACCAGGGAAATGACTGTGCTGAATGAGGGCAAGCCTGGGAAGGGGAGGCATGGAAGAAGTGGAGCAAGGACTGATGGGACAATAGTGGTAGGACTGTCTCTGATAACCCCAGTCCCTTACTTGGGAGACAACCCGTAACTGCACAAGGGATAAGAAAAATGTTGACTAAAACCAACACAAATGGCTTAAGTCAAGACCTGACAGGCGAGACATGTTCAGAGACCAACGTGTGAAATCACCCATCAGAATCCTCTCATGTAGACCTTCTGTACTGTGGGGTAGAGCAGGAGACAAGCATCTTAGGACCAACTGCACAGACACTGGGGATGCGCAAAGACTCAGCCCATGGCTGGGAGAAAACAGTGCACACTATGTTCAAATGTAAAATACCAATGGAACATTCCTCTAAACAAATTGGACGTTGGAGGGCCCTCAGAGGTGTTTTTGAATGTGAAAGGAGCAAGACAAATGGTCGGAGAGGGCTCTAGCAGGCAAAAAACATTGTGAACAGACAGCCTGAGAACCGGTTAGAGAACACAGTAAGACGCTACCTAAGATAGGCCCACTGGCAAATTCCATTTTTCAGATGTCTTCATTTCACTGAAATAAAATGATTTCCTTTCCAGTACTTTCCCTTTCACACCCCAAAAGAAAAAGAACCAAAAACCCCAACTTCATCCAAGCAGCCAGGACTCTAACACACAAGTGCACGGACACTCTGATTCTAGCACACCCAAGCACCCAGGACTCTTCTAACACACAAATGCACGGACACTCTGATTCTAGCACACCCAAGCACCCAGGACTCTAACACACAAGTGCACGGACACTCTGATTCTAGCACAGCCCACATGCTGGAGATGACATTTTACGTCCTTGTCATAAACAGGATGTTACAGTTGCAAAGGGTGAGTTAGCTTAATCACCGAAAGGCCTATATTTGGGCAAAACGTTTAACCCAGAAGTTTTAGTGATTCAAAACCATGGAAAAAGCTTCTTCCCTTTTCTTAATTACCACTCTTAAAATGAAAGACTGGCAGCTAGATGATCTAAGAAGAAAAACCCCAAGACAGAAAGCATTGTCAGAGAACTATTCACACTGTCCGCTTCCCAAACCTGAGACTTATGAGTTTATTTGCACATTAATCGGTTCACTTGATGCAAAAAAACTTCCCTAAGTTAGTGTATCTGTAATGCTAAGATAAGCTGATTTGGGAGGGGGTATTTTAAAACAAGGAAATGATTCTAATCTTTATACTTTTAGTTGCATGTATGTATACATATGTGCATGTATGTGCAAATGTGTGCAGGTGCCTGCTGAGGCCAGAAGAGAACATCATACTCCCCGGAGCTGGAATTAACTGCAGCTGTGAGCTGATGTGGATGCTGAGAACCAAACTCTGGTCCTTTGCAAAAGCAGCAAGTGCTTTTAGCCACCGAAGGTGCTTTTATCTAGTCTCGACTATGAGGAGTATTAATTTCCTACCTATCTCATAGGAATTTGTCCAGGTGTCTCTCATTAGGACAGTAAAGTAGCTGGGAGTGGCAGCTCACATCTGTAATCCATCACTCGGGATGCTGAGATATGACTGGGAGCTTAGAGCAGACTAGAGGACACAGTAAGGTGCTGTCTAGAAACCACAAATGGAGAGTGATGTATCTGCCCTTGCTTGAATCCCCTGTACTGTCTCTGTTGTCGTGTCCCCCGGTGTCGTGTCCACTGTTGCCGTGTCCACCGGTGTCTTTTCCTCCCCTCACTGTTTGTGTTGCTGACTGCAGGATGTTACACCCTCCCTCCCCTCCTGGGTTCTCCACCTACTTGGCAGAACAGTTTCTCCACTTCGTTCTCTCCTTGTTGCCATAGAAAATGTGCACACAAGCTCTTTCCATTTTAGGAGCCTTCTGGCTCATTATAAGAGAACATACAGATAGCAATAAAAATACCAAAGAGGGGTGGAGGCCGATAGCTTCAGGAACCTCGTCAACTTTTCCAAATAGTACAGGAAGTCTAAGCTTTCTGAGCCTCTTTCGGTATGTGTGACAGCCCCCTTTGGATCTCTCTCTCTTTCTCTCTCTCCCTTCCTCCTTCCCTCTCCCTTTCCCTCTTTTTCCCTCTCTCCCCCTCCCTCCCCTCCAGCTTCCACTCCCTCACTGATCTCTTTTCCTTGACATTTGCAAGAGGAACTCAGCCAGAGTTTGATCCAACGTAGCGGATTAAATTACTAAAAATATAACTCAGCAAGGCTCGTGCTGTTCACAATGATGGGAAGTGATGCTCTCCACAAAGTGGGTTCCCTACACACAGTAGCTGGAAACCTCCCCTATATCAAGCACTGAGAGAACCTTCCTGCCTGCTCCCCAAAAATCACGGCTGGGGGAAGGTAGAGAATAGCCCTGGGGACTTGGAAGGGACCTTTGGACTCTGGATGCCCCACATTGCTCAATCAATTTATGAAATATTCAAAATTCCTTACTGGAAAAGATGAGAGAACTTAGCCATGCTGATTAGCGTCCATGACTGGAACCATCCTAACCTGAAGGACTGCAGGAGGTGGTGCCAATGGGGGCCATTTCACTCTGAAGCTGCAGGTGGGTGCTGAGGGAGCTGAGGCCCCTACATTTGGACCGGGACATCAATCAGGCCTTGGGGCACAGGTTTCAGCTTCGTCCCCATCTGCCTTCTCAGAAATAAAGTTGATGATTCCAGTGCAATCAAGTTCAATCTGCTCAGAACTCAAGAGAGACTGCCCGGTCCACCAGCTTCTCTGAAATCCCAGGGTCTCAAAACAGAGACACCAGAGGAGGAAAACAACCCAGAGGCAGTCACACAAGGCCACGAGCTGCAGAACTCAAATCCAAACCCCATCAGGTTGCCCCAAAGCATGGCTGCTTTCGTTAGATGGAGCTGTTCATTACCCGAGTGCTCAGCTGCTGACTGCCGTCTTATTACCCTACAACGGAGTCCATACAGCAATCCTCCAGCCTGGTGTTGTGGGGACGCTCTCTGTCCAGGACACCAACAACAAACCAAGCAGTGTGGGGGATCTAATGGGTTTACTGGGCCTACTTACACATCATGAATGGGGGGCTGCTTAAAAAGTATGGAGATCTCAAAGTAGCCACAATACCAAAGCATCTTATCCCAGCCCAGATAATGATGATCACCCATAGCTGTATGGATGGTGTCCCCAGAAATTAACTGTCCCCAGCCTGTCTACTCTAGCACTTCCGGAGACCATCAGTCCAGAGACAGTTAGAGAGAATGGCATACAACTAGCCAAGATGTACTTGAGGGAGTGGCCTGAATCTAATGACCTATGCCTTCCTTCTAAGAGGCAACATCAACAGTCAACAAGCTAGATCTTGGGGGTTTCTTGCATGCAGCGGCAGCTGTTCTGACAAGGGAGGTGGCTTTTATATTTGTAGGACACTGCTCTATAGGACTCAGTTCTGGTGGGATGGGGAGCTAACATGAAAGAGTCGTGTGAGGGCCTTCATGCTGTGGCATCCCCCGACAGGAGGAGGAAAAGTAAGAGAGAGAGGAAGAGTATCAGAGTTCAC